TAAATTCACATAGGCCCGACCGACTGCCGACCACATTTGCTCCCGCCTCGCCGGTCTCCCTGATTGGTAACCCCACGGCTCGCCACCACCTCGTCGCCGGTCTACCCTACGGTGTGGTCATACGCCGTCGACCGGCAGTGATAAATTGCTGATGGTCCCGTGCGGTAATAGTAATAATAGTATCGGAGATAGAACAAAAATAAAGATAACAATATTAATAACTCTAACAATGATAAACGATAACACGAGCAGCGGACGGAAGCCAACGCGCCCGCCCATATTTTGGTCAAACAAAATAAAGGCGGTCCTTTATGGCCGATCCGAGGCACCACCTCCCCACGACTGCCTAGAATACGCGCGGGAGTCCTATCCCTTAGCGCGGTGGCGCGACGGCTAGCCTTGACCCTTAGGCACCTCGCCGACGGCCCGAGAAATTCTGGAACCATGGGGTCGACTGGGTGGCCCAAAATGCATCAAAATACGAACAGATACCCTTGTAAGGGTATCTGTTCGGACAACGCGTCAACCCCGCGCACTCAGCACCAGCCCGCCGGATCGCCCAACTCTCTACTCACTGTCTTTCTGCACGTTAGCCGATCCTCTCGACCGCGCTAACTCCCAAGTAGATTAGAGAGGAAATTAATCGCACTTGCAGAATTTATAGCTTGCTCATCAACGCGCAATAGTCGGGATTGCCAGAGGAACAAGAAAGAAGGGAGAAAGGAAGTGCCTACGAGTGCATGACAAGGCCGCGGTGTGGGGGACGTAGCCTCACTCCACGGTTCGATCCGGCCATGCATCGATCTAGCCAATGAGGTAGACAGTGGGGAGCGTACGCAGCGATGAGGGAAGGGAATTTCAAGAACGGGGAAGATTACAATTACACCTGCGTAGCGGGGATGGAGCAAGAAGAGATTACAGTTGAGATTAGAATTTAGGCACGGCGACGCACCTAATTTCCTAGTCTAATTAAAGTCCTAATTACAAAAAGAAATTCCGAGAGCCCACACGGGCTCGTTCCAAATTCAAAATTCCGAAAGAGTTCCCCGTGCGATTATCGCGCCAAAAAGACGGATGCCTTATTTGAAAAAGAAAGAAAAGAAAAGAAAAGAAAGAGGCCATAACCGAAGCTGTTCGCCAGCGCTTGCTAAGGCGCCGACCTACTATCCCAAGGTCCATAACCGCTGCCTTCTTTCCCCCAAAGGACCCAGGAGAAAACTTCGAAAAATCAAGGAGGGGCTGCCATGCAATTTATCCCTGATCCCTCTATGTACCCCCCTCATCTCGGTTGCGCAGAAGATGGCGCCTTACAGAAAGTAGCTCGTCACACGGCGACGAGTTCTGATCACTGGTGGGTCTTGTACCCTTTCGTGTGTGTTTGCACCTTGCATCATGTGTACTTGAAGGATTTGGCCCTCACAGCTGGTCCTCTCGGTGCTCGCTCAGTAGTATGGCAATTTGGGAATTCGGATGATACGGTTACAAGGGACTCTAAAATGGCATCGTGCAGATCAGTGCGGGCGTCACTCAAGTAGCTGGTTGGACACTGCCCTATGTGGGGAGGCGGCGGCATGGGTGTGCTCCATGGGCGGCGAAGGAAAGGCGTGGGTTAGGTTTATAAAGGAGGCAAGGCTTCGGTATGGCCGCCAAGTGTAGATGAGTGATCAATTCGTGATCATACGGATTGTCCTCCTGAAGAGTCTACATGTGGGGTAGACGAAATGCGTCGGGGAATGGCCACAAGGTTGTGTTTCATTTTCAGTTCACGCACTTGGCAACCAGACGAAGGTGTTATATTGTCTTTATATCTTCTACTTTCGCTCTGGATACTGGTGTGCTTTGGTTTACCTATGTTTGCATGTGTGGCGCAGTGTGTCTACTGGAGTATCGGTTTTCTCCGTTCTCATGCATAGGCAGTCTTGCCGGACTGTCCTTCTCTTCCTCCTCCCTCCCAACTTTTCTGTTGGTTCTGTTGAATTCAAAATCAGTGAAGAACAAGATTGAATATCGAACATTTCAAATTTAATCTGGAGAGATTCAAACCGTCCAATCGTCCCAATTACCGACCACAGGCCACGTAGGACTTGCAGTCCAAGGGTCCGCATAGTAGCCATGGTATGATGGTACTAACAAATCATGCTCCACTCCCTTTGTTTTTCCTTACTTTTTTCCATTGTCTACTTCAATATGAGCAAATACTGCGTAATTCATGTCATCCTGAGAAAATGCTCCATTGTCTACTTTAATATGAGCAAATACTGCGTAATTCATGTCATCCTGAGAAAATACTGACAGCTGATCTGCTTGAGAACTGACAAGTTGTAATTCTGCAAGAACAGATGCACTTCATATGTGCATACACACACCCGCATGCATCAGAGAGGGAAAAAAAGAACAAAAAAAAACAAAAACAAAAAGAAAAGAAAAGCGTGTGGTGACCATTTCAGAAATCCTTTTTTTTGTTTTTTTTACCATTTCAGAAATCTCTTCAAATGGACTTTTCATTGTTTTCAATGTATTACAAAAAAGGGAAAAACAAAACACCCTTTTTGCTAGGCTGTTTTGCTGGGCGCTCGGGCACCTAACTTGTGCCCGCACAGACGCCCGGGTGCCCGGCAAGGCATGAAACCTGGACAGGGTTCCGGGCAGCCCCACCGCAAAAAACAATGAGAAAAAAAATCAAAAAATTATAGAAAAAAAAGCTGTGTACAATTGCAATACAAATGAGTTTTGGCTGAGGGTTATATCAGAATTCCTCACGGATATGAAGATAAAAACGAAACCAACAGAATCAGACTAAGGCACCCGCCTTTAGACCCCTTTAGCCCCTTGAAAACCAATTTATGCCCCCCTCCCCCCCCCTTTGACAGCCATCATTCAAAAGAGAAAGGGGCACGTCTGGGCATGCACAAAAAAAACCCACCTATATAAAAAAAAGAAAGAAAAAGGGCTGATTCTTGCCTGCACTGGGTGCCCCATGCAGGTGACCCCCAGGCGACTTGCACGGGGTGCATGGCCCTGCTGCACGGCCGGGCGAGCCAAGTAGCCTAGCCTTTTTGGGGGTTGCATTTGTGGACAGTGAACCTTTTATGTCCTCACTAGATGACCCGTTGCGGCTTCACCTGCGAAAACAGAAAATGAAAATGCATGGAAGAAAGAAAATCATAATGAAACATCCTCTATTTTGTTGCTTCTTTCACAAAACGAAAAAGAAGAGACAAGCCATAGAGAACTATGAGCGATGCGCTGTCGTTTCGTATTGTTAATCCAAAAAAAAGGACGGTGTGGTCCTTTTCTCCATATCCATTCTGGGGAGCGTCAGTCCGGTTCCTATTCCACCGGCAAGTCATCGATACATACAATAAATAAACACCCTTCCGTCCCATCAACGTCGGAGCCCTGGACAGCATTGATTGCTCCCGGAACGGGAGGATTAACTGCCAGATAGCCTCCCCCATGAATGAATTCCTCTCGGCCTCCTCTGCAGGGAGACTGCCAAATCAGCGTGTACCTCTAGAAACCCCCCACCCCCCCCAAAAAAACGAAAAAAAAAAGGGCTGATTTTTGCCAGCACTGGGTGCCCGTGCAGAACCCCCAGGCGACTTGCCCGGGGGGCATCACCCCGCTGCACGGCCGGGCGAGCCAAGTTGCGTTTGCGGACAGTGAACCTCTTATGTCCTCATGCAGAAATTAGCCAAGAAGAGAAGTTGGCCAAAAAAACAATGCAGTAGTCCTGCTCGGCAAAATTGAGATGAAACATATTGCCCATGACTTTCAGTCAAGAGTGATGCTTGGGGGCTGTTGCCCAATTCAGGTCTCCGCCTATCATTCCTACCTGCCTTCCTTTTTTTTTTTTTTTTTAATTATTATTATTTTAAACACAGCCCGGGAGATGCTAGTGGTGCTGATAAGAGCAGACACTGCTGGCACTCCGGGGATGCTCCATCTATTGGTGGGGAGCAGCACCTGCTGGAAAACAGGTCCAGCGTCCCTTACATGAATAAGCTCAGTCACAACACAGATGCTGGAAACCGGGTCCAGCGTCCCATCCCAATCTCCCTGCATTCCTAGCTCTGAAGCCCAGGTCTGGAGCCCAGCCGAGGTCACTGGGGGGCACCAGTGATCCACTTCTGTTCCCCGTCCCACCGAGCAGTGCCGCTACACAAACTGGGCCGCCTGCTGGAAAAACGGGCCAACCATTTAGTGTAAAAAACAAAACAATAGATGCTGGAAACCGGGTCCATCAAGCATTGACTGCCCCAGCACGGGCTAGGGGGTTAGCTGAACAGCTAACTGTAGAGCCACCAGATGAACTGTAGAGCCACCAGATGAATGTAACGGCCAGGGTGCAGCCGATATCACTGGGTAACTGCCACGTTTTGCCTGAGCCGCCTGGCCTGCGACAGGACACAGACGTGGATCATGTGTTTGTCCTTGAGAATCTGTTTCGGGTGGGGAGGCGTGCTGTCTTATGGGTCATCTGGTGGCGACGGTGCGTATTGGAGATGGAAGGCGCAACGGGATATAAACCGGATCATTACAACCTTTTGCAATGGTTGGCTGGGTGGAAGCAGGGGAGGATGGTTGGGGGAGGTGACATGGTCAGGGGATGCCCCCTGCCAGGCCGGACTGGGGGGGGAACAGGGGGCGTTTGGGGGGGGCGTGCCTAGGAACTATAGGCTGGACTGAACGGTGGTGGATCCTGGAGTCCCGCTGCGACCGGCTGCGGAGTTCCCTGACCCCTTCCCCCCCCCCCGTGTGCCCTCACGATTGTAGAGGAATGTGATAATTCCTACCTGCCTTGCAACCTCCTACCTACAGTTGCTTCCTTGCTTTTGCCATGAAATGGACCTTCAACTCCAGACAACGAACTCTTTTTTTTTTTTTTTGAAAAACACCAGTTGGTACTGCTAGCGGTGTGATACGAGCCCCCACCACTAGCAGCCCATCTAGTGTCCCTTTTCACATGAGTATATAGACGGCTTCAGCACCTCTTCACCCCATTCGGGGGCGCTTGATTCGAGAACCCATAACCTGGTGCCAAATCTGCACTCTCCCATCCCCTCTCGCCCCCTTCAACCCCCATCCCTCCTTCTAACCCTTTTCCCCAGTCTACCACTGGGCCCTTTGCTCCCTTTCCTCATTCACTCTGGGTAAAGGCAGGTGAAGGGGGGGGGGGCACTCAATCTCCTGAACTGTTGCCAAAGATAGAACTGTTAAACAAAGGTGACAATTTTTTTTCGGTCATAAATTTGAAATTTCTACATACAGGTTCCTCACAGGTGACCATGAGATCTGCACAACTACAGTTATGTCCATGCAGCTGCCTACTCTGCTCATGGCCTCGCTCTGCCACTCTTTATGTTTTTCGTCGAGTGGCCCTCTGCTCCACTTGACCCTCGGTCGAAAACTCTCAAAATTTGAGAGCTGTCAGAAAGATTCCTCTGAGATGCCTCTCGAAAGTCTCCACACTCTCGAAAACTGATGGTCCTCTTCCAGCCTTGAATCCTTGATTGTCGACAGTGAGCGGTGCACTGGGACCCAGCTGTCATTTTCTTTTCTATTTTTTTGTTCTTTTTTCCTTACCGTCATGTGTTCAGAAGAAGGAAATTGGAAGTCTCTCGAGAATATTGCGATCGAGAGTTATTGTGTAGAGAGTAATGTGGAACAAGGCGTCCATTTCTCTTGAAATCAAGTCTGACAACTCAAGATTGACTCTGGATTCTCGAGATGAGTCGAGAGTAGTGGCGCGAGGCCCCATGCTTTCTCTCTTTCTCACTCCTCCCCACGTCTCTCTCTCTCTCTCTCTCTCTCTCTCTCTCTCTCTCTCTCTCTCTCTCTCTCTCTCTCTCTCTCTCTCTCTCTCTCTCCCCCCGTGCCTCGGTCTGCCTCTCTTCCAAACTTTCTGCCCATCCTTTCCTGTCCAAAGAGGAGCCTGAAATGTCCTGGAGAGATCTGTGACTACTGTCGCCTTGCTCATTGTATAGATCCGTACTTGGCAGGCCAGGACAATTGAGGTCCACCACAAGAAAGACGATGACTGATCGCTGACCAATGTCGAAACAGCAGATGCCAACGTACATGTCAAAACAAACGATGATTAAGCTAGCTTGTTTCCCAGTTTGTTCCACTAGCTTTGGATTAGTTAGCGTTCATAGCTGGCTTACGTCATCAGCTAGTTGCCTTAGCTTACTTTTGTCATTAGCTAGCTTATGTCATTAGCTAGTTTCCTTTGTTTCCTTAGCGTTACGATTAGCTAGTTTCCTTAGATGGCTTATTAGCTAGCTTATGATCGTAGTAAATCTGCTTAGCTCAGTTTCGTCATTAGCTAGCTTTCCTAGATAGCTTACGTCACTGCCTCCCTTAGCTTGGTTGCTTGCTCTAAGCAACTAGTTTTTTGACGAGCCGTTTGCAAGCTCAGCAAACACTCTACCTCTGTGAGTGAAGTCATTGAACTCGTCAAAGCTGGCACACGCCGGGCTCAGCAACACAACATCACCTGCACCAGTGGACCGCATCACAATAACAGAGAGGCACAGAAACCATACCATAAGAACAACGAAAAGCTCAGAAAAAGAGATGATCCGTTACATGATTTTATCACTCCCTTGCGTCTTACCTTAGCCGTTCTCATTACTAGCATCTTCCCATGAACACAACGCACCCTGACCATGAACATACACATACTACACAACCTTCCGTTGTCGGGCGGCCAAAGTCAGTCGGCCACCGGAAAGGTTAGGGTTCAGTGTCGGCTAGGTGAGCACGCTTTTGAGGTTCCTTTTGTCCAACGCGCGATAGGAAATTAGGGTGTCTGGGCCAACCCCTGTCTGTCGCTGACTTACGTGCTAACACTAGCCCTACTTTCGGGCTGGCGGGAGGATCGTTTTGGTCATCCTTGACGCCCTTTGTTTCAGCCCATTTTATCCCTATTTTTGTTTCCACTGATTTTTGTCAGAAATGCGCGCACAGACTCCTACGCGCTCGGTTCTGCTCCACCGGATTGGTCCGAGATTCGCTATTTTAATAACAAAATAAAAAACCATGAATAAATTGGGAGAACGATAAAAGAGAATCAAAGTACTGATTATTGCTGTTATTTTATTTTTCTCCATGATGATGCTTCTCGCTACCGCAAGCACGATTTGCCTGTTCTGTGGCCTTGATTGTCAGCCCTTCCATTCATGTGTGCGCGTCCCTATTTTATAGTTATGTTTATGAGCTTGCTGGGGCACTGTGTGGAGTCTGCCATTTTCTCGATTTTTGCTGCCCTGGTGCAGTATGCACGCAGCTAGGACAGTCGGGGATTTATTCATCTATTTTATTTGTTTTGACAATGAAAATGAAAAATCAGAGATAAATTAAAGAATGATAAAAATGAACCAGAAATGCCTGATTACTATTGTGACTTCATTTTTCTTTATGGTTATGTTCCTTGACAGCACGAACCCCGATGTTGCCTACTTTACTGCTCTGATTATGGCCCATCAGTTCGTGTGCACGCACCACCAATATTTGTGTTTATGCGCTTGCTGGATATCGCGTGGGATTGCTTGTTTCCATGGATTGTTGCTTAATCCAGAGTGTGCACCACTGGGCGGACACGTTGGTACTGGACGGAGTACATCGAGACGTTGGATACACAACGGCTATGATGGTGCAATAAAATCATCCTGGCAAAGACACTCGAGTCTGTATTGCCATCCCCAGGCCAGTTTACTCTGTTTCACACGGGGTTACGACGACGATGGCTCAGCGACGCCATGGATTTTCATTAACATGTCAGAGATTATTGCAGCATCAGTTTATCTCCGGGCAGACCATCTGCGGCAACAGCACTGGTTCAGCCCTGGTATCGCCACCCACATACTACTTCGACGATCGCTGGTTTGGTGCGGGGTTGGTTTCTCAATCGACGGGACCCTTCTGCAGGCCTTTTTTTTTTTTTTTTTTTTAATGGCCGGCTTCTCAATCAGCAGGAAGGCCTACTGCAAGGATGCTGATACCGCTGATGCCATGTGTGGTCTGCTGGGTCTGGATCCAGGGCCTGTATTGAGGGTTCCAAGTGCTTGGGCCAAGGGCCTTCCTGTTGTGATGCCCAAATACCAGGCCTGCAGTTTCGGTACCGTCGGTACCGCTCCGAAAAAGGGGCAAGGGACCATGCGGGCCTGCGCTATCAGGATATAGCCTGGGACAGAGCATGTTGGATTCATTGGGAATGGGGGAACTGGGAAGCATACCAGGCGTACGCAGCGCACCAGGGACAGTGGACCAGATGTCCGCAGCTCACGAGAATGACCGGCTGGTGACTCTTTGTGCCTGCCAGCTCCAGCGGTCAAGCGGGCGTTGCTGCAGCATTGGCTATGGTGGGGCATTCATGGTATGGAAGTGGGTCTGTGGCTGGGAGAGAGGTACAGAGTAACTAGTCAGATGGAGGGTACACGTACCAACCCACAACATGATGAAGAGAACTTGCTASAGATYTGCTCYAGCARACRAGGCGCAACCCTCCCCTYTCACCCAGTTTGATAGACCAAGCAGCAGGTATTTATGAAAAAGAAAATATTTCGTCTTTACACCCATAACAGATCTGYCTGCGCGCCTGCTATCAGTAGCTAGCAGGCCMTCAAGCGGGTTTWTCTCAAGATCTGCTCGYTGTTGCATGRRKCAGGGGAAYGTGCRACATTGCCGTTAATCATTRATCTTGCCCGYGCAMGAGAGCACACACAGACGATAGAAGACAGTGAAACGAACATGGCTCTGATAACGACCAGGTTCATCGGAGTGTGAACCAGTGTGATCAAGGGATGCGAGTGATAATCTGAGCGTGCGCAGAGTTGTTGAGGAACGGAAGGCGCAAGAGAACTTTCAGCTGATTGTCATCACTCATGATGAGTGGTTTACGACTCAAATTCGGAAATGGCAGTATGCTGAGAGCTATTTCCGAGTTTCCAAGGACGAACACCAACACAGCAGGATCGAAGTCCAAGAAATTGATGACTAGACCCATGGAGTCTTAGGAGGGGAGCAGAGCACACAAATGCACTATCTCCAGACCAGATCTGCAGCGAGAAAACGAATGCTGGGCCACTTGTAAATGGTATAGCTTGAACGCACTGCAACTGCAGCACATTCTCTTAATTCCGCTTCGATACCTTCTCATGAACATCGTACCATCGGAGTTGTTGTGGAAACACTAATGTATCATTGGCAGGTTGCAAGGAGGGTGTGCCCCTTTTTCTTGCCTATCCTGTCTGGGAATTGACCTCTTAGGACACTGGTAGCAACCTATGCAGAGCGGAGAATCATGCACGATTGACGCATGACAAGCAGTAGATCGGTTGTGAAAACGAGATTTCACCTGGAACGTGTGGGCCATAGCTTATGCAGAGCAGAGGGCAGCAAGACAACAAGCAATGGACTGGTTGCGATGAATGTCCTGTTCAAGGAGGGGGTTGCAATTGCTGAGCATTGCCTTGATTTCAAGTTGTCTTCACCGTATTATAGTGATCAACTCACTGAGATCATGGTATGGAGAAATCCCGGGAATGCGGATTGCAAGAATGGAATGGGGTGTGGCTCTTTGTCCTTCCGTTCTGTTTGAGAGAATGAACCTCTCAGCACACTGGTTGTCAGCCGAGCGTAGCCAAGATTGGAATGATGACTACCGATCTACAACTCACATATTTTTGCTCAACGGATGTGCCAATGGCCAGCGTCAACTCACTCCAGCTTTCTTCAAGAATCATGGGATCATAATGTGTTGAAGTGGTAGAACTGCTCTCACAGCAAGTGACAAATCGCTATTGCTGGTGATGGCCAAGCGCCGTCCTTTTCCTCCCTGCTCATGTGGGTCTCAGCACGGCACATGATGGGCCCGTACATGCCATAATAGTCGATGTCGTAGATGGGAAATGCAGATCTTCTAGGGCATGTAGACACCATCAATGAAAATTGCATGGACGATATCTCTACCAGCTGGTGCTGGGGGGATACCATCATTCTCTGACAGCCGCATGACATTTTCATCCAATGCTTTAGATCTGATGCCCAAGTACACCCACATGCCCGTTGAGAGTTTTCCATGTATGCATTCCAGCTGAACACAGCTATGGAGCTTTACCAGCCTGCTTTGTGAATGCAAAACGGGTAAAACATCGTCCTACCTCCCCTGTCCTGATCTGCCAGCCTAGCTAGTCACCAGCATTTGCAAGAATGCCACCGTGACTACGTGCCCGTCGGAAGGACACGGGCCGTCCGTACGGCCCTCTGGCTGATGTACGGGCCGTATGTACAGCCGTACGTGCCCATTCCGAGTCCTTCGGGGGCGGCCTTCAAAATCCGAAGTCGGAAGGGGGTTGCTGGAGTTGAGGGGTACCCCCCCAAACGAAAAAAATATAAATAAAAGTAGAAACCTTTTTTCTTGTTTGGGTAAAAGAAAACAAAAACAACTTGATTTACTGATTGATTTATTTATTTATTGGTTCATTGATGATTGATTGGTCGATTGATTGGTTGGCTGATTGATTGATTGATTGATCGATTGCTTGATTGATTGATCGATCGATTGAGTGATTGATTGATCATTGTAAAAAACAAATTAACAAAAATGCGCAGACAAACACACACACACCCAGTCATGTTTCTTTGATT